AGTGGTTGTAGACGTGTAGGGGTGGCTGAAGTGGGCCAGGGGAGGTTTGGTGCTTGCACGAAGTGCTTCTGGACACACGCACACGTTTGTGTGTGTGTATGTGTAAATCCGAATGCTTACGGCCCTGACCGTAGCCAGATACGATGCGTCACTGTTCTTCATTGCCTAGATCGAACATTGTAAATCGGTCTAAACGCGTTTCCCGCATCCACCGAGTGAGTGGAGTGGACGCACTGCGCTCGTAATTGTCTTGATTGTTCCTGTCCCCAGCCAAGCTGGGTGGTGTTTGTGTATACGATCGTTATGGGCGTTCCATTGAATGAACTCAAATAATTATTAATTTTATGCACGCACAACGTCCAGTTTCAATTCATTGGTAAATTATATCGCCAGAAGGATGGATGGGGTTTGCAATGGTGTCACCTTTAGGACTATTGTTCGCTGATACCTTTATGGTCAAACTTCCCCTTGAGCCCCATATTAGACGGTGTACCCTATACAGACGATTCGTTGATGATGTATGTATAGCAGATGCAAATCTGGAAGCGAATTGGTTGCTTGATAGTTCAACAATGTCCATCCGAACGTAAACTTTACGCCGCAGCGATAGTTCCAGTTAGCGGCGCATAGGAAAGTAACGTGGAATGGACAGAATATCCATTTCCATACTTTCGTCCCTCTTCGTCATTACTCAATGATCACCATTGGAAAATCTGGACGCCCGAACGTTTTGACTAAAAGGAATGGTTCAAACTGTCACTTTTCAAAATAATATTTGCAATAGGGTAATTTTGTGAAGAATGTTTGAAGTATAGCTAAAAAAGAAAAGTGTAATTGTGATGATAAAACAGATGTGAGAGTGTGATCAGACACACGGGTGAATCATGAACAATTGCACCTCTTTTTGCATGCATGGAGTTGTCGAAATGGTTAAGTCGGTTATTGGCGCACGCGGTTTGCACCTTGATCAGTCGTATTCGGAGACGGCTGTTCCCAATAGTTTCTGACTCGTACACATTTTTTTGCCGAGTTCATTTAAAAAACCGATCACAACGTCAGTGCGCGGTTTCTATCTCCACGATCCATCCTCTTTTATATTGCGATCCTCGTGTCTCACCGAGTTCGTCCGACGATCGTTTCTCCTGTTTTCTACAGGATTTCCGATCACTGGAACACGGGCAAGCTAATCGTTGAAACGCTATACCCGTACGATTACCTCATTTATTTAACTGTTTTCATGGAGTTTTTATCTGTCCCTCATCAGATGGATGCTGTTTTTTCGATTGCAGATACGATATCGATCATTACTAGTGGGTGTTCATTTTCCAGTTGCCCTAATACTGCATTGATTTATTTTTTTCCCTTGGTTTTTCTATGTTTACGTCCCAATTTTTTCTATTCCGTTGTCAGCTACGAATTGAGAACTCAGTGTAAAGAAATCATACATCTAGAACGGGAAATCTGTCAGCCGTTGGCAGGCAGTGGCACACTGTTTGTGTATCATACGAGTCGCTTCTGGAGTCAGATCAAATTTGCCGGGTAATTATTGGTTTTTGTGTGTTGTCCATCCTGCGTTAGAATTTACGATTTAAGGCTTTTAATTTTGATGTCATCACTTTGGATTACACAGTTAGTCAACACATAATAAAGGCTTTATTAACAGTTCTATGTCCCAGACTAATCTCCCGTCTAGTTACTGATCGTTCGGATAATTCTTGTTCGCCCTCTCGCACATCTCTGGGCGATTGTAGGGCTGTAATCTACGCCAATCGGCATGTGCTTTCGCTGTACGAACGAACCCATCCTCATCGTCTGGCTCGTATGACCGTGCCCAGTTCGACCGGATTACAGTATCTGACTGGAAACACTCGGATTCCCACTCTGACCATGAATGGCGACTGTGCAGTAGAGAACATTGGACCGGTTATTATCGGTCACGTGTTCATCCATCCGACTGCCTCAATCGACCGGACTGCTGTGGTATGTGTAAAACCGTTTTTTTCGCAATGTAAACCAGACTTGTGGTTCGCGTTCCCTCGCCCAGACTGTTATAGCTTGGCTGATTTACATATTTTAACTTAGGTTCACAGACTATGAATTTATCCTGCGTAGTTTGATCTATTTCCAGATTGATTTTGCTGGATGTGAATACCTACCAATCCACAATATTGTGGTAAGAAAAGTAAATCACGGGCTTTTGTGTCCGTAGATCCATTCGGGTGAAACCAAAAAACATATTCCAACTGCTAGTTGGCGTCAAGGCCACTCACATTTGTCGCCTATATGTCCGCGGGTGAATAGCCTAAGCGTAGAAACCAAATAGATGCACAAGCTCCTTTGTATCAATGATTGTTTCGGACGATTACTTACACGAATGCTGAGGTTTCTTTTTATTTTCACGCACGTGTGAGTTCAAACTGTGAGCCAAACAAATCACGGTACAATAATCTTTAGAAAAAAGACCCACGATTTGTTCGAGAGCACGATACTGCTAGGTTGCCCAGGTAAAATCAAGTGAGTTTTCTTATGGAGTTCACGGCGAGAGCCTTTGCCTAACCAAAACAAGGTATCAAGGCAGTGTGAAAACTTTTTTGTCTGTTTCTTTTTTTTGTTTCCTTTTTTCTATTTATTGAATATACAAATGTACAGTCAACTTCCAGGAAGGGGGCTGCGGCCATACAAAGACTGCTCGGGTAAGATACAGATAAAGGGAAGACAGGCGACGGTGGAGCGGTTTGAACCCGGGACACCCAGGTTACTTGTTGGTGACCTAACCACTTGGCCACCCCCGTAGACCGTTGGGGACTGGTGTCGAGTTCATCAGAACATATGCCCTTTGACCGGGTCAAACATCCAAGGTGTCCAGTACACCTCGATACCCAATAGACCTGGTAACTACTACCACAAACAGGAAACTGTGGGTGGGTGTGGTCCGTGCGCTTCTTCTTGGTTGATTTTGAGAGAGGGTTTTTACCCAACTCAGGTGAACCGCCAGTCTTTCACCGACCCGGTTATAGTCTCGGATAATGGCTTTTCGTTCTCTCACTTTGGTAGGAAAACCCCTCCGCCATGAGAAGGTAGTGAGTAAGGATAGGCTGTTTGAGACACTTGGTCGCATAAGAGCGTTTCACGGAGTGTAAGGGAAGGATGGCCAATCACAACCCGAGACACCCATCCCAGACCATATTGGGGCTTTCGGATCCTGAGGTTCTTAACTATGAACTGTAATTTGCCGATTGCAAAACAAGGGGCGTTGTGTTTGTCAACAATTGCGATTAGAATTACTACAGCGTTTTACACTCCCAGGACACTTGAATTTTTTTCAAGCTGGCAGTAGTTTGTACAGTACTTCCTGATTTTTGCAGTTCACCTTATTGTGTGTTCTATTATCCCCTGCAATAACCGATAGTTTTTTCTCTCTATGTATATGTCACTGTAATTCGCACAGTGTTTGTGAGACGGGACCGATTTGCCAACCCAGCTTGTCCAGATTGATTCCGCCAGGGGAGGCAATAATTCTGACTTCGACAGTCAGTAGCTGACTCAAACTTTCGGTGCACATCATTTCAAAATTTGATCATCTTCGAAAGGCAGCTTGATGTAACCTTTTCGGACTGGGTTACCCCTCTGAAGTTTTCCACTATGAATGCATGTAAATCTTTCTGGGTCACCATTATTTCGTTGTTTGTCTTACAAATTCTCCTTTTCCTAGTATATTTGTTGACCAAATGTTTCTAGCCCGATTCGCATCTTTAAACGAAGCTCCCATTCGTTGTGTTTCAATTCCCGTTGTTTTCATATGCGTGTGTTAATATTCATTTATATACTTTACCCGCGGAATCTGCAACTTTCTTGTGATAAGACCTTCATTGAGATGGTTATCATCTGGTGTATCACCCATTCGGATTTTCTGTCATCCAAAAAGTATTTTATTTGTTTATTGATTGATTAGAACTGACCACCCTTCAGACTTTACCTTCACGCAAATTCCTCAGCTCTTCCAGTCAACGATACACTCGGAAGCACTAGACTCGAGTTTCTCTCTTATTAGAGCTCATCAGCAGTCATCAGCATATCCACTGTCCTCCGGGATTTGAACTCCGCACCCATCGCATGGAGAGCATGTATATTACCACTGTGTCAACCAGCTCATGCCAGGGCTGAACCGAATTGCCAATTCGTTTGTTTAGGTGTCGTCTTCAGAGAAAACACACATCCTTCCATGCGATGCGACCGAAGTTCAAATCCCGGATATGCACTAATGAGAGCGAAACTCGAGTGCTTCCGAGTGTATGGTTGAGTGGAAGAGGTGAGGAATTTGCGTGACGGTGAAGTCTGAAGGATGGTCAGTCTACTCAGTCAATTAATATCAATTATCCCACAACACTACTCACAAGCAGTTGCGAGTTAAATAGGAATTATTTTATTTACCTTGGTGCTGTAATTGTCTTTGGTCATAATAACTAGACCGGACGCTGTGTCCGGTTTAAGAACTTTGACGATTGTTGCATGTTGAGTTTTTATGTTGCGCTTTAATATTTCTGATTAAGGAAGAAATATCGTCTAATCGGCCCCGTGATTTGGGAATGAGAAAAATCCACCAGTTTTACTTCGAACCTGTCCGCGTTTGTCGATGATGTCGGCAAAAGTTCTTTCAGTTGATCATAAACATTTTCAACCTAAACTTGCTTTTAGTGACTGGTAACCTTTCTTGAAGGAACTTGAAACTTTGATCCTAATGATTTGGCATCATTTTGTAATTTTATGATTATACTAAATGTGAAATTGTTTGTGTTGGTGGATTGACATCTTAATTTATCCGCCACCCGATTTATTTGGTAAACACGCATTAACCGAAGGATAAAGAAGGGCAGTAACTCCAGGTGTTTTGAGTGAAATGCATGGTGCTTGGCCAGTCAGTCGATTCAGACTGATTATATTTAATTTATTGACTAGAATAGATTTCGTAGCAGAAGCCGTTTGCAGTTTGTCTAACTTTTCTTTCATATTCTCTAACACTCCCAAATGGTTTCTGAACAGCGATCTATTTGCACTCCTAAAGTTGTAAGCTCACGCTTGTTTAAGTTACAAGAGTCTCTCTATGTATAAATACATACCCGTTATCGGCATCGTCATTTTTCTGTTCAAAAATTCTCTCACTCTAATGCGGAATGATAGCTCGGTCCAAATGTGAGCATTGGTGAGCGAGCAGTTATCCGGGGAGGAGTTCGTCTACGAGATTGTATTGTCCTTCGAGATGCGGAAATTCGTGCTCATGCTTGTTGTCTGAACGCGGTGATTGGTTGGAACACAATCATCGGCGAATGGGCCCGAGTTGAAGGCACTCCAAACGATCCTAACCCAAACAAACCATTTACCAAGTTGGACGTGTTACCCGTGTTCAATGCGAAAGGCCAACTCAACCCATCCATTACAGTTATTGGTCAGTACTTGCTCTGTTCAGTAGGAGCTCGGTAATCGCTTTCTGTCATTTAAATGTGCATCTATGATGAGCAGGTTTGTTCAAATGTAACGCTGAGTGGTATTGATGTCCTTACAGGGCGTGATCATTTGTATTTTGTCTTTGGCCGATCGTCGTTCAGACTTCCTATTCACGCACCATAGTGAGTTCATCCAGTCAACCGTACATTCAGACTCGTTCTTGTCAAGGCTCATCAACAGTGCGCAAGGACGGGCTTTTCCAAAGTTTGAACTCCGGATCCTCGCGTGGAAGGTGCATCAGTCAAACTCAGTAATCACTCACCTCACATTGCTACTCTTACGTAACTGAGCTCAACTGGAAACGAAAAATCTCTCAGGTCTAGCAGGCTTGACTGTAATCTGATTCGGTGGGACGCTCTTAAGTGAATCTACCAGGTAGTTAATTGTCTTCATTGGTTGCCTTCGCGTTTGCGAATGACCGTTTCACATTGGAGGTGAGTTCGGAGAAAATTTTGAATGATTATCCCAATCATTCGCATGATCTAATTGACAGAATGGTAACGCACAACCTCCATAGAGCAGATCCGGGGTTCAAAGTTAGCATAGGTCGGTGACTATGTACCACCAAGGAGCTTCGATCAATGCCATAGTACTTCTTGGACATAAAATTAACCGGAATAACTAAGGAGAGTGTACGGGAAGATGCAGTGCAAAGGGCTATCAGTGAAACTCAACAATCGCCTGTCCGCACCACACGTGTGAGTTCACATATTTTGAATGAAATTCATTAAGGTACCTAACCAGAGAAATCTGATCAGTTTTTCACATCAGCCTTGTGCCTGGTTCTATGCGTGTTTACCAGAACGTTCTATAAGAATCGAACAATGATTCGATTTTTAGTGATCTAATTCCGATTGCATACGAATGTCCTTACCACCGATTGCGTTCACTGTTGGTAAAGTTGTCATCACTGCACCATTCTCAGTTTCAGTTTGAACGACCATTAATAATGCACTTTCGTGCGCCGGCTTTAGTTGCTGTTTTCTGGATCACGCAGTTGGAGAAAGGCAGCAAGATTGAAATGATAATCGAAGTCATCCCGATTACTGGTTAGGGTTTTCGTATTCTCAGGCCACGTCTTAGCTTGACCACTCTTGACTTTATTCCATCCACTACCTGCCTCAATGAGTATCGCTTGCTGTGGCAATCTATCTGGTGATTTGCGTAAAACATGCCCCAAACAAAGTCATCTATGGAGGTTGACCACTTTCTCCAGTGGGCGACCGCAGTTACCTAAAACTCTACTCCTAACTTGAGTATTGTTCGTTCGGCTGCCCCACCAGCTTTGTGCAATACTACTGAGATAGAGGTGTTCAAACACCAACACTTTCTGCTCCTGTCTGATGTCTTAAATCTAGATAGTGTTGTTTTGGTAAAATGGTGAAACGTTGAATGGGAAATTGTTTGTAACCTGGTTTCCTTGTTTATCGTTCACACATTGATCCTTAAAGTGACCTGCTTTCCGTCTGTATTTCTCAGGCTCGAACGTGGAAGTTCCACCGGAGGTCATCGTACTCAATTGCATCGTTCTTCCTCACAAAGAGCTGTCACACAGTTCGAAAAACCAAATCATTCTTTGAATTCAGACTCTGCTCTCCTCATCAGACGCCGGGGCTAATACTCCCCATATCCCGTGACCAGCATGCACTCACAAATTGTTTTCTTTTATGGGTGTGCGTTATAGTTCGATTTCTCGTTTGATACCCGTCTCATCCTTGTTGGCGGCTCTTCTTTTCTGTGTTCATGTCTTGGCTATACTCAGTCTCTTCTCAACCCTAACCTTTCGCTTCAATGTGCTACTCGACTGTGTCCACGTGGAGCCCATTTGCACGAGAGTGGAGTTATGGGGGGGGGGGGGGGGGGGGGNTAATTTTGTTCCTTTTGGGTTTTTTATACGCTGTCCATTCGTGTGTTTGAATGGTTGCGTAACTTGATGGATCGTTTGTTTTTTCCCCAGTGTGTTTTCTAGTCAACCACCAGTCACTTTGATGCAATAAGATATAACATCGACGTTGACCGCGACACTTGAACCACCGTGTCACATCCCGCTTTGAGACTGAGCGTGGACACCAACACTGTTCTTTGCTATCTCTCCGTGTGGTCTACTTGTGTACTTTCATTATTTTGTTTCTCACCACTGCTCGTTGGACTGAAATCTTTCATTCGTCCCTCTTTCGAGGCACTGGCGGAATTTTTCCAGCACAATCCCCTCGTCCAGGCACTCTGGCTTGACCTGATTTGTGAGCACACGCATACACACGCGCTCACACTCCTGAGTGATCACAATGAAAATCCACTTGTGTTTGCAGCTGTTTTGTTCTCAATTGCTTGGCGTTCTGCTCAGGCGTTTGTTGTTGTTTTTGTCTGGTGGCTTTTTCCCCACGTGAAGGGCTTCTACTCGATAGGTTTATCGGCATATGCTGCTTTGCTTCCTTTTCTTTCGCTCATTGTGCTCATATACATTCGTTCTCTGCTTGTGATATATCCATTTAGGTGCCCTAGCGTATTATCTTAGGATACCTTTAATATGAGGACAACTCGAAAATATTCACTAGTTAAGAACATTACCCGCCGGGTG